CTGGGAAGACGAGACCAACTCTACCTATGTGAACAAAGTCAACGAGCTAAAAACCACACTTGAAACAGTGTTTCCAGCGCACGTCCACACAGACAAGATCAGAGCATGTAAGCAGAAAGACGGAGAGGACACCGAAGATTTTTTTCAAAGACTGAAAGCAGTATTTGACCGGTGCAGTGGTTTGACTGAACCAAGTCCACCAGCCGGGGGGGCTGCGGTTCCAACTGGCATAAGTACGTATGAAGAATACTTAAAAACTGTTTTTCTGGATAGCCTGGACCATGAAATAGGAAAAAGGGTCAAAATATCTTGTGTGGGCTACCATCAAGCGCGCCTGGAAGAAATCCGACGACACGCAAACCATCAACAACAGCTGCTGAAAGATCAAGCCAAGAATAAGCAGAAAAAGACTGAAAAAGACACTCAACTTGCTCTGCTGAAAATGGGAGGTTTGATAATGGAAAATCATCCAAGAGGAGGAGGAGATGGAGGTAAAAGAGGAAGAGGACGAGGAATGGGTAACAGGGTCCTTTACGACCCTGAAGTCTGTTTTAATTGCAGACAAAAGGGACACTGGAAAAATGACTGTCCACATCCTCTGAATCAAGTGGAATTTCAACTACAAGGATTTCAGAAACATCAACAACCAAATAAGCAAGGAGATTGAGAGGGGGAGGGGAGCGACGGTGAGAGGTCTGACTCCCAGGTGGTAACTATGTCTTATTTCTATTTCTGCTTCCTGCAACGAAGAAATCTTGCTTGCAAACAATGATCAAATTTATAAAGCATTCACAAAACTACCAATGATTGAAGTAAAAGTTGAGGGCAGAAAAGTTAAGTTTTTAATAGATTTTGGAGCAACAAACTCTGTAGCTAAACATACTGAATTGCCTGATTTAACTGTATTATCTGGTAAATGGGCAACCTCCAGGAGTGCCACAGGGCATCTGGTGAGGGAACCATATACTGCAGATTTGTCTTGTCAGATTGGTGATCACTCATTTGCGCATGCTTTTCTTTTGACAAAAACTTGCCCATGTAATCTGCTGGGTAGAGATTTAATGTGTAAATTGAAGATGAACTTGTATTGTGATGACAATGGCCTCACTGCTGATATGACTGTGATACAAATGCCTGCTGAAATATTGTATGTGCTTGAATGGAGCACTCCTCAAAGTGGTTTAAAAACAAAAGCCACAAATAGGATGCCTGCTGACCATGATTTCATGGAAGAAAGTAATTTGCATTGTACATGTCATATCAGCAATGAGCCAGATGAAATTTTTGCTGTAAAATGGATTAAAATGGAAATTGAGGAACTGCAGTCCTCGGTGCTATTTTGGTCAAGTTGTGTGCTGTAAAGATTGAATTGACTGATAGGCAGCTAGCGCTTTATGATGTGGTGGGGGCCGTCCCACACATCTCCCTTACAAAGCCACACAAAGTGGGAAGATTTGGGGCCGTTTGTGAAACACTGTGACTCATTAACAGATTGGTTTCTGACCACTAATGTGTGGCAGTCCAGGAGTACAGGGTTTAACAAACAGTCATTAAGTAAACACATTAAGGGATTTAGGACAGTTGAAGTGTTGTGTGACTTTGCAATGATAAAGAATGAAGAAATGTCTATTCCCGAGGGTTTACAGTAGAAGCAGTTCCACAGGGACTCTGGGCACGTGACAAATATGATGTAGGTCTGATTAAAGGGATCCCGTTAAGATCACTCCAAAAATTGATTACAGACCTAAGAGAATGCAATATGCTCTAAAACAAGAGGCTATTGATGGTATCACCCCTGTATTTAATTCATTACTGGAAAGGGGCGTGTTTGTGCCGTGCCCAGATTCACCTGTCAGAACACCTATTTTTCCTAAAAAAAAAATAAAAAAAAATAAAAGAAAATAATAATAATAATAAAAAGAAAAAGAAAAAAAAAATCAGAAGGCCAGAGCTCCGATCCTGCCAAATTCATATCCGATACTGTCTCAAATTTCGCCAAAGACAGTCTGTTACACTGTGGTAGATATTTCAAATGCCTTCTTCAGTGTACCAGTTGATAAAGACTCTCAATTTTGGTTCGCTTTCAATTTCAATGGTAAACCATATACATACACACGATTGTGCCAAGGTTTTTGCAAAAATCCAACAATTTATAACGAAACGCTGAAATGAAGATTAGAGCCATTACACCTGCCAGAAGGTGTTGCCCTGTTGCAATGTCACATTCCAGGTATGTGGAGAGGACCTGATGGCAAGCCATGTTTAACTAAACATTTCTTTTCAGCTTATGCTAGGTTGACGCATGGATTGGACCATTCGTCAAAAGCGGGGATGCTGAAATGTATGCAAAATAACTGGTTTACAAAAGATTTTTCCACAGTGGCCCAGGAGTATTGCAGCAGGTGCATGATTTGTGCAATAAACAATGGGGGTAAGGGTCAGGCAATGAAACTAGTGGGGTATCCCAGCCCAGACAAATCTTTCAGTCACGTCATGATTGACAACATTGAATTAACACCAAGTGAAGGGAAGAAATACTGTGTGGTCGCAGTAGACATGTTTTCAAAATGGACAAAAGCATTGCCCATAGCACTCACATACATGCGAATGAGACACAGAGGGAGGGTAAATCTCTCCCCATTTGAAATCCTTTTTGGAAGACCACCACACATGGGCTGGGAACCACACGATCAAAGAACATTGCCTGACACTGCTTTGTGTGAAAAAGATATGTTGAATTATTGTGTTGAACTGGATAAGGTTTTCTGTGATATATCTAGACAGGTAAAGGCAACTGTTCCGGAGGTAGCAGTCAGACCTCTGCAGTCCATCCGTCCAGGGAATTTCGTGGTCATCAAAGACTTTAGAAGGAAGCACTGGAGACAAAAGAGGTGGCAAGGGCCATACCAGGTGCTACTGGTCATTCACACTGCCGTGAAGGTCGGGGAGGAGGTGCCATGGATCCATGGAACGCACTGTCAGAAAGTGCCGGAGCCATTAACGGGAGAGCCATTCCCCACACAGCCCGAGAATCCGGGTATTCAAAGCAATTATTTTGGGCCTGTTCAGTGGCTGATTTTTCAACCCAGCACTAAGGCCACTGGCCCAAGGATTAAGGATTGTGTTTAAACGACCCAAGCATACTAGGGGTGGTGCGAACACATGCAAAAGAACTTTATTCAGTCGACGGTGAAGGATTCGGAGTGACATTTTTTAGCATAACCACTCAACCAGGACTCAGATCTCACATCTACAGACCAACTGGAACATTTGCATTTACACAAGAACACTTTTTGGCCTGGCATGGTAATGCCAGGTGGCAATATGTTACTAAATGTTATCCTCTTAATTAGTGGGTGCCTCCAGGCAGTCGGACAGGACGGCATCCAATTGGGTATGGTAAAAGGGAAAGGATCAAAACTTACAATAGTATGTGACCCCATCACAGCATTGGGAAATGCACAGGAAGAAGCTATTAAAGAGTGGGGTAAAACTATGTATTTCTGTAAGGAACCATGTGGCTGGAAGGATGTTTATGGAGGTAGATATTTTGTGTGGTGGACTTCAGGGAAAGGCACATTTCTCCCACTTACTATAACAATGATTGATCAACCATCTGAGCAAGGGAAATTTGGCCCAGTGCTGAATAGCAAAAGCATAGAAGAAGAAGAACATGGTTAGAACAACAATTTGATCTGAATCATAAAGATAGGACAGTTCTGCATGCTAGAGCACAATGTGGGGGTAACAAAGCCTGTATGTTGAGTGTTTTTGCAGAGACAATCACTGGAGATAAAGGAATCATGTTGGTGGTGTCTACAGATGGATAGAACTTGGAAAGCACACCCGTTTAAAAGCCAACACCTGAACAA